CAGCACTTGCCTCTGAGCATCTAAATGCCTCTCTCATATTTACACATGCTCTTCCTCCTCCAACTAGCTTCCCCTCATTGGTTAGGAAAGCCAAGGATGCTCCCCTTTGTCTGAATATGTCCTTCAGTCCCCAGTCCCATTATGCACTTACCAGTTACTTAAGCATTCAAGTATCAGTATGTACACAGCAAGTCAAAAGGAAATGAACACTTTCAACAAGGTATTACTCAGGAACTAGGTATTATAGGAATATGTACCAAAAGTAGTTGAATTCAGAGTTTTTTCCATAATTGTATAAATGCTCATGGCACATAACATGCTTTAATCCTGTAGGCTAATAATTATACCCCAGTTCATCCCGGACCCTGTGTTGCATATTGTTGTTGGCGGTTGAAATGGCAACCACAATGCTTCCCCCATCTCCTCCAGTCCATGAGGACCAGGTGGGACAAATCTGAGATTCTTCTTTTTTTAAATTTTTTTATTGATTTCAGAGAGATGAAGGGAAAGGAAGAGAGATATAGGAACTGCCTCCTTCAGGCCCCCTACTGGGGGTCGAGCCCACACCTGGGCATGTGCCCTGACCATGAACCAAACTGTGACGTCCTGGCCAACCACTGAGCCATGCCGGCTGGGCCAAATATGAGGTTCTTGACTTATCCCCACTAGAAGCCACATGGAATGACACCTGGGGATTTGGGACCACAGTTCCAGAGGCAGGTCAATGCTTTGAATGGATTATTTATCGAGCACTGTGGAAGGTATTCTTTCAATGGCCTCTGGACCTCACAATTGACCTAAAGTGGAGCCCCCTCCTGCTTGGAAATGGAGTTGTCAGAAACTTCTAGCAGCTGTGGACAAAGCCCACTCAGATATCATGTCCAGAGATGTGACCCCATCACTGTGTTCTATGCAAAATGTGGGTGGACCATGCGAGAAATACAGGAAAATGCTTCAATTTGGTGCATAATGCATGCTCATAAATAGCCTAGTTACTAAGTAATGGACTTTTGGAAGTTTCTATACTTTCTGAACCACTCTATACATCACAGAAGGCTGCCTTTTCTGCTCCAGCGTTGGTGCTGCTGTCTATGTTCTTTATAAACGTGTGGCTGCATGTTCTCTTTCAATGGGTGCTCCCTAGGGACAGGACTGGGTCTGTGGGATTTCCTCTGAGCAGCATCATCCTGCGCTGAAGCTTGCAGGAGGAGGCACTTAGTCTTAAGCTTTTGATAGGTGATGACAAAAGCCTATATCCCTCATTCTCATCTGTCAGCTCCACCCAGGGAGGCAGAAAGACAAGGCAAATCCTCCTGAGGCAGATTTTCCATGAGCTCAGACGTCAGGGGTTCCCTCCTGCCTTCAGCTATGCTGGGGCAAATGCAGTACAGATTAACCCCTGGGCCTTAGACCACAGGCCTTCCTCATTCCCTGGCAATAAGAGACAGCACCGGACTGCAAGGAGACTCTCCTGAGAGAGAGTAGAGGCTGGGCTCAGCAAGCTGCTGGAGAGGAGGCCAGCTGTCATTGGACTTACTCACACAGCTTGCTGCAGTTTCTCTCACATAGTTGTCTGAACTATCACTCTTTGTTCTAATCTTGTTATGAAGGTCTGGCCTTCCCCACCCTGTTACTCTGGGAAGATATAACTCCTCTAGGCTCTACTATGGAACATGATTCAGGATCAGTGGAGAGATTTCATCTAAATAGTCAATTCTCTAGCCATCCAGTGTACCCCTCCCCCCTCCCCGCCCCCTACTCCCCACCTATGAACACAACTCACTCCTGGATGCCAAAGCAGAAGGCTGGACTCCAGAGAAGGAAAGAAGTACTGCTTAGCTTGTGGGGGCGGGGTGGTGGTGGATAGGCGGGAGGATGCCTGTCTAAAAGTGAATTAGGAAACACAGAGCATCTCCCCAGACCCAAAGAAAGATATAGAAAATCAAGGGCAAATGAATCAAGTACAAAGTTGACCTTAAGGGTGATGGGACTAGAAAAGAGTAGAATCAGAAATGGATCTGCCACAGGGTCGCTTCTCTCCAGCTCCTCCTTTACTGTCTCAGGAGCCCTCACCATCTCCCATGAGCCCTCTCAAGTGACCTCACTCATGCTCAGGGTCACTGGAATTGGATCCCAGGGCATCCTTCTCTGGCAGGTGGTAATGGAAATTTTGGAAAAAAGCATATCGTTATATATAATATACACTGAGTGGCCAGATTATTATGACCCCATCAGTACAATGAAGTGGCAAAACACTTGTATCAGGAAATCGAATGATACTTTATCTTACTGGTGCTGTCTGGTGTGTATGTCAAACTTGGGATTGGGTAATATGTTGAAGTTAAACCATCCTCTGATAAGCTAAATGGTTGAATGTGATGCCCCTGCTGCAATTAAATTATATACTTCATTCAGTGATGAGTCCACCCCCACCCTGGAAATAGATAAAATCAGGACTAAAGGCGGAACGGATCTGGTCACCTGTGCTAGTTGACCGCAGCCTGCCCCTGTGTGCACAGTCCAGAGGACAGATGAGGACCCAGCAGAGGAGCCTGACTCTAGAGGAGGGAAGGAGCAGCCTGCTGAGTTCCCATCAATGACTCTGATCCTCCCTCCAGCTTCCTACTACTGTTACTTTCCAGCAAGTTGAGCAAGGTGTTGCCTAGGCATCCACCTATGTGTGACTTCTAGGTCCTTACTAATGCTGCTTTTATTTTCTTTCACCCCACCCCCTCATATCATACACACACACACATACACACACACACACACACACATACACACACACACACACACATACACAAGCTGCACCTGTGTTCCAGTTCTTGAAGCTTCTGGAGGGTGCCTGAATACACCAAGTCTTTTCCATACTTCCATTATAATAATGATATTAGCTCATCTTCATTGAGAACTTATGTGCAGGCACTGCTAAGGCCTTTACATTAATTATTTCCTATAATCCTCAGAATAATGAGAGATCGGTACAATTCTCACCCCCAGTTGACATCTGTAAAAATGAGTAATTTGCATACAGACACATGAAAGCCTGAGTACTAGGTCTCCAGAGCCCATGCTCTTAACCAGAGCTTGGCAAACTTTTTCTTTTTTAAAATAAATTTTTATTGATTTCAGAGAGGAAGGGAGAGGGAGAGATAGAAACATCAATGATGAGAGAAAATCATTGATCGGCTACCTTCTGCACACCCACTACTGAGGATCAAGCCCACAACCCCCTGGGCATGTGCCCTGACCAGAATCAAACTATAATCTCCTGATCTATAGGTCAACACTCAACCACTGAGCCACACCGACAGGGAGGCAAACTTTTTCTTGAAAGGGTCAACTAGTAAATATTTTAGGCTTTGCAAGTCATATATTCTCTGTTACAACTACCTAACTCTGCCATCATAGTGTGAAAGTAGTCATGGGCATTGACATGGACATAAAACACTGGGCAAATGCATGCTGCTCCCACCTGACTTGCCAAAGCTTCCTACCCCACCTGATATCATCTGTGCCAAGCCTAAAGCCTCAGGCCCGAGAAAAGTAGCATGTATCAGAGCTCAGTGCCATGGGAAGGATCATTTCTTTCCCAGAACTTGGTGACAGCACATTTCTTGGTCAACCATTGTGCAACCAGGGTGGAGGGAGGGGAGCTTCTTCCGTTGTCTTGAGAAGGTATCTCTTTCCAGCCAGACGCTGAGTTAGCACCTCCTTTGGGTAGGAAATGCCCTGCCCTCCTGGATGCTGTGCCCCTAAAAACATTAGAAAGATGGGACTGCTTATAAAATAGTACCAGGTCCTGTCCTCAGGTAACCCCAATGTGGGAGTTTGTCTTTCCTCCCCCTGGTTTTCCATTTAACCAGATGTTCCCATAGAACAACATGCCTACAATTGCTCTCAATGCTCATTGCACTCAGTTTTTAATGTCTGGACTGAAAAAAAAATGAACATCCTCCTCCTCTAAACCAAACACAGCACTCATCCGACAGCCTTCTCTCCTCTGAGAAGATGTGTAGAGATTTAAGATTTCAAGAGCTGAGATTAGAAATATACACTCGAAAGTTACTTGTGACAGTATCACACATGTAAGGGCACATTTCTATGATTCATTGCTTCTATATGCCCCTCAACTTTCTCTCCACACCCATTAAGATGTCTGATCCTTGAACCCAAAAAATATCAAAATCTGTGGGAATCAAAATTTAGTGAGTTTCTTAATGATTTTTATCCTACTCATTTTAGATTCTTTAAGTTAAGCTCTAAGTGAACATTCCCAAACAGCAGAGAAATGGTGTCCCATGAATTCCAGTTGGAAAGACAAATTGACATGATCATCAGTTCAATTGGAAAGCACACTTTGGGAGGGAAGTACAGGCATGGGGAGAAACTCATTGCAGAAATCAGGTCCCTGGCTCAGAGGCAGAGTGGCCTTGGGTGAAGGTTCTTATCCTCTCAGGAAACTAGCAATTGGGAAGTTTATGGAATAGGACAGAGAGCAATTGTGATGGAAAAGCTCAACCCTTTTGTCCTTCTTGCCTTGCAAAGGAAGGTTTTAACCCCAAAGTATCCCCCATTCCCATGACAAGGCCACCAGGAACAACATGTGGCAGCTCCCAAAGAAAGGGCAGGTTCAGACGAGATGGAAAAAAACACTGCAGGCCACTTCTTGCTCAGGGCATTGAGCAAATACCTGTGAGCCCTCGGAGACAGTCCCACCCTGATGAAAAGGGTGGTGCCGGTAGACCAGAAAACCTGTGTGGGAAGGGGACACACAGAGGAGTGGCTGAGTAAGCAGAAGGAAGAGACAATTACACAAATCAGTGCCTTGTCTCCTTTGTTTGAGATCATGACTAACTCATGACTTCAGTGAATTCATATCCAGCCTTATTGTGTGGGGATCAAGACAAGGCTGGAGGGCAGGAGAATTTCTCCATGAATAAAGGAAGCCAAATATACAATCTTCATATTTCATACCTTTCTGGGTGCTGGGGGTGACCTCACTATTTGTAAAGCCCAACCCTCCCCAATCTGCAAGCTCACCTTCCAGGACTGAGCCCAGCCCATTTCCACTATATATAAACTGCTGCCTGCAAACTCATCACACACCTGCTGCTCTCAGCTCTACCCTCCAGCCTCTCACGCCTTCTTCAGCCTTCTCATCTTCAGGAACCATGTCGAGCAAATCCACCATCAGGACCCAAAGCAGCAGCCACCGTGGCTTCAGTGCCAGCTCAGCCAGAGTCCCTGGGGTCAGCCGCTCTGGCTTCCGCAGTGTCTCCGTGTGCCGCTCCAGGGGCAGTGGAGGCCTCGGTGGAGTGTGTGGAGGAGCTGGCTTTGGCAGCAGGAGCCTCTATGGCCTGGGGGGCTCCAAGAGGATTTCCATCGGAGGTGGCAGCTGTGCCATCAGTGGAGGATATGGTGGCAGAGTTGGAGGTGGCTTTGGCTTTGGAGGTGGAGCCGGGAGTGGATTTGGTTTTGGCGGTGGATCTGGTGGTGGCTTTGGGCTCGGTGGTGGAGCTGGCTTTGGTGGTGGCTATGGGGGCGCTGGCTTCCCTGTGTGCCCCCCTGGAGGCATCCAAGAGGTCACAATCAACCAGAATCTCCTCACTCCTCTGAACCTGCAAATCGACCCCACCATCCAGCGGGTGAGGACTGAGGAGCGGGAGCAGATCAAGACCCTCAACAACAAGTTCGCCTCCTTCATTGACAAGGTGAGCCAGGAGGACCTGTCCTCCAGTGGGGACTCAGAGTCCCCAAAGTAGAGGACCAACACATGTTCTCTCAGGGGAGAATAGGGTAGAGGGGAAAAGGGACTCAGACTGGCTCCTTCCTGAGATGCCAGATTAGTTCTATGTTGATCACAGGCAGAAGGAGATGGAAACAATTTAGAACTGCTGAATTTCTTAAATATCTCTCATTCCTGTCCAGGAAAAATTCTCAGCTTTTGATACCCATGGAACAAAGGGAAAACAATGAGAAAATGGAAAGAGTTAGCTTTACCTTCTGAAGAATCTAAGACATTAAAAATAAAATTCCAGTGGAAAACTGCTCTAGGGCTCTGTGCAAGAGGAAAAAGCATGACAGGAAAATAAAAATAAATATATTTCTGCATGATTTAGAAAAAAAGACTCAGAAACACTTACATATCCATTGAAATGCTAAATTTGTAGAACTAAGTAGTGACCATTGAGGAAGCTTGTTTTAGAAAAGACTTGTGTACTAAATGAAACTTAGATTGTAATATAATCACAATAAGATTAGAATTTAATAATCATATTCTAAACACTTACATTCCTTTAACTGAGGTATTATCTTTAAAAAAAGCTTTGTGCAATATATCATTTGAAACGAGATGAGTGATTATAATTGTCAAGAGAAAGAAGTAATGTTGGAAGTCACTGATAAGTTTGAATAAATTAAGGGGTGAGAGCACCTCAGTGCCCATGGTAAATTTTCAGTGGTGAGATTGATCTGGGGAAAGAAAAGCAGGACTGTCACATACATTTCTGTATGTGCTCTATATAGCCCAGCACACGGGTATACTTGGGGACCCAGCACAGATATCTTTCTTCCATCATTCATCAGCAAATAACCAATTTGTGTTCCTTCAGGTGCGCTTCCTAGAGCAGCAGAACAAGGTTTTGGACACCAAGTGGACCCTGCTGCAGGAGCAGGGCACCAAGACCGTGAGGCAGAACTTGGAGCCTTTGTTTGAGCAGTACATCAACAACCTCAGGAGACAGCTGGACAGTATCCTTGGGGAGAGAGGCCGCTTGGACTCAGAACTCAGAGGCATGCAGGACATGGTGGAGGACTTCAAGAGCAAGTGAGTTAAGGAGAGATATGGGTTCAGTTGTCTAAAGCACACACTTCAAGACCACTGGGAGTCCAGGTCCAGATGTGGTCATGATCTATCACAAAACATGTCCATGAAAATGAAAATCACAAATGTTGCTTAAAAACAAACCTGAAAGAAAAATGGGCTATATGGGTGGAAAGGGAGAGTAAAAGAGGAAACAATTTAGGGACCACAAAAATCATCTTTGAGGCTTACTGTCAAGAAATCTGAACTTTGGCATGTCCATTATGAAAAGTTCTGACCCCAGGCTGCCTTTTCTGAATCATTGTCACCACTGACGTATGCCTTTCTCATTCTAGATATGAAGATGAAATCAACAAGCGCACCGCTGCAGAGAATGAATTTGTGACTCTGAAGAAGGTGAGCTGATTACAACCAAGGGTTCATGTTTCTTTGCAAAGGAAGAAAACTCTGGTGTCCTCCCCACATCTGAGAGGACAAAAGTGGGGAGGCTAAAAGGTGGGCAGATGGGGAAGGAAGGCTCAGCTAACCCCATGGTGTTGGCTTATTCCCCAGGATGTGGATGCTGCCTACATGAACAAGGTTGAACTACAAGCCAAGGTAGATGCTCTCATGGATGAGATCAACTTCACCAGAGCCTTCTATGAAGCCGTAAGCATCTCCACCTTCATTTGAATTACTCTAATGGGGCTCTGCAAAAGGGTGGGAGATCTTGGGGTTGGGAAGCCTGTAAACTTTACAGGAGAAAATTATCTGACCATCTCATGTTCTGCAGGAACTGGCTCAGATGCAGACGCACATCTCAGACACTTCTGTGGTCCTTTCCATGGACAACAACCGTGACCTGGACCTGGATAGCATCATTGCTGAAGTCAAGGCTCAATATGAGGAGATTGCTCAGAGGAGCCGGACTGAGGCTGAATCCTGGTACCAGACCAAGGTGAGCTGTGAGTGGGAAGCTGTTGAGTAATTCCTGTGCTCATTCCCTAAACACCAACAAGGTTACCAGTCTCCACAGGGAAAATGCACTTCTAGGAAGCTGAATGTGTACCTTGCACTGATAGAGTATGTGGTTATATTATTTATGTGCAATTCTGGTATGTCAAAGAAGCCCAAGCAAGAGGAAAGCTAATGTAGATAAGAACCTAGTGATCATTGCTTTAGCTTCACATTGATGCTGCCTCTCTGAAAACCAGTGCAGGACATTGCTGGTTCTGAAGAGAATTAGAAAGACAGTGATTTCATGATAAGGTTGGTCTGAGATTAGTGTAGAGGATCCAGTGACCTAGTAACATCAGCATTTCCTAAAATCTTTTTTGAAAAGCCATTGGGTTGAATTTATTAAAAGCCTGACACAGTGTGACAGTCAGTGTTAAAACGTGAGAGGCCATATACATCAGCTTCTCTCCCTCTTTGCTACAGTATGAGGAGCTTCAGGTCACAGCTGGCAGACATGGAGATGACCTGCGCAACACCAAGCAGGAGATTGCTGAGATCAACCGCATGATCCAGAGGCTGAGATCTGAGATTGACCATGTCAAGAAACAGGTATGGTGGGGACTCAGGAAAATAAAAGCATTCACAGGTAGGTGGATAGATCCCAACCCAAGAGCATGATATAAACAGGTGAATAAAACCAGTTTCCCCTGTCAGAGCTATAAAACATAGCCTAGAATCATTAAACAGAGATAGGAACAAAACTGGGAAAGAAAAGGCAGGCCAGGAAGTGAGGAAGATTGGTGCAAATCTGCCCAAGATTCAAGGTAAAAGAAATGATAGTCAAGCAAGCACACTAAACAAAGACCAGTGTCACCTAAAATTGTGAGGTATAAGAAAAACATAACCTCCATGA